GGAATAGAAAGTACAGATAATTGTGTGAAAATGTAGGAAGAAAAATAAGTAATGGAGTAAAGTATAGATACTTAAAAACTGTACTTAAGTACAGTAACGAAGTATTTGTACGTATTTGTTAGTTGACACCTCTGCCTCTAAAGTTTAATTATTTACTAATTATTATGTAGGCAGCAAAAAGCCCTAATCTAAAAGAGGACAACTTAGGGATGTTTATCAGTGAATAATCCATAATAATGATCTACTGACTTTATCTATTGGATCCCCAGAGCGCTTTATTGTCCCAATTTAATGTCAAAGCAAATTAATTCCTTGTAGATGTAAATCTACAAGGAATAAGCTTAATTCATTTGGTGTTTAGCAGTAATATAATACTAGTATCAATGTGCTGCATAACTACAGAGTTGTGCAGTTCAGGTAAAACCTGAAAAAAAAAGTTTAATCTGTTATTAGATTATGTGTAAATCACTAAAGCTTTTTGATCCCAAAGGTTCAGAAGACGTTGGCCCTGAAGAAGCTGAAAAAGACTCTTCAAAAGATGTTCACGACACACAAGTCATAGATGGAGACAATTTAATGGATGAGACCATAACAGAATCTGAAGGTCCAGAAACCGATGCCCCAAATGAGCTGGTTTCTAAACCTGACGGTGAACACAAACCAGAGGAAAACGTTGTTCACCAAGGGGTGGATTCTATGGAGGATGGATCAACAGCAAGAGAAGAAGAAACCCGGGCTGAAAAAGTGGAAGAAAAAACAGACAATTCGACAGCCTTGGTAGACCCAAGGCCCAGAAGAAGCCAGAGAACCAAGATGTCTAAGACTGAGGAGGACCCTCCAAAGAAGTATATGTCGAGAACAAAGAACAGAAAAGCAGAACAAGAGGCAGAAAAAACAGAGGAAGCTACTGCGACTTTAGATGCTGCTGAGAAAGAGGTGACTGAAGAAGATGAACCTGTGATGCAGCAGAAAGCCAAGAGAGGGAGACCAAGGAAAAGCAGCAGGAACACTAGAAACCAAAAGGCTGCTTTGAAAAACAAACAGCCCTGCAGTCCAGCAGCTGTGGAAGAAAATTTACAGGACAATGACTCAGTGGTGGAAGAGACGGTTAATGAAGCTCCTGGAGGAGAGACAAACTCAGCAGAGCCTCAAAAGGACGTAGAAAAGACAGTTGAGAGAACAAACTCTGCTAGAAATGAGGAAGAGGAGCTTCAGGTCGTCACATCTCTGGATGCTCCGGTTCAGGAGATGAAAGTGGAAGAAACTATCAGCCTGGAGGTAGCAGGAGATGAATTTAGGAGAGAAACAGATGTTCAAGATGAAGGAGAAAACCCAGCAGAAATGCTGGTCTCTGATGAACAGAGTCCGATTCAATCGTCTGGGGATGCTAAAGATGCTGAAGGAGCTTTATCTGGTGCAGACGGGTCCAAACAGGAAGTCTTAGAGGAACCGAGTCTGAATCC